GTCAGCCAGACAGTGCCGGCTGGCGACCCCAAGGGGCAGGGCCTTCTCTGTGGGAGCCCCCACCCTCTGGAACGAACTGCCCCCAGAGATCAGGGTGATCCCTGATCTCCCTTCCTTCCGCCGCGCCCTCAAGACGTGGCTGTTCCAACTAGCGGGACTGGCCTGAGGGATTTTAAAGGGGGTTTTAATTACTTTTAAACTGGACATATTTAAATATTTCATTTTAATCGAATTTTAATTAAGTATATGTATATATGTTAGTATTTTATTCAATTGTCAGCCGCCCTGAGTCCGTAAGGAGAAGGGCGGGATATAAATGCAATTAATAAATAAATAAAAAATAAATAACATCATCAGTGCTAGAAGGGATGGGGTTTGCTATCTGTTTATATACAATGGCTTGTCCTGTCATGTTGTTGGGAGTATTTTTGTTTTGTTCTGGCTAGCTCCTTGGGCAATTCCTCTCACCAATACTGACAGGGCAAGTCAGTGGGGATAATATTTTGGCATTCAGTTACAGTCATTTTGTCCAACAACGCTGAACCCTTCAGTCTACAAAGGCAATCAGCTAACCAAGAAGATTTTGGAAAGGAGAGTCAATTGGCTGAAGAAGAAAATGTAATTGGTCCCCATCCATTTTTATAAACAGTTTAAAAGGAGAAGGATACAGTTCACACCACTTTTCTCCTCATCTATTTTATGCAAAATGTAAGAACAAGGTAAAAGTGCAGATATATTCAGATGGTCCAACTGGTAGAGAGTCTCAGAACATGTAAATGTCTTTCCCTAGCTTGCATTTATAGACTTATAGATTTATTAAGCTATTGGTGAATAGTTTTCCAAATACATACATGGAATCTTGAAAATGAATTGCATTTTCGGTTTATGTTTATATTGATCAAGATCAACATCAGAACCAACACAGAGTATATATGAGCTGACTGAGGGTCAAGCAAAGTACTCAGGGGTTCTCCCTTTGTTTTTCCTCAAGACTGACACTGACCTTTAAAAGGATAGCCATAATATTGCATCTTGTTCCCAAGGCACTCACTCCCCTTTACAGACTTTTCTATATAGATTACATTATATGGGAAGGCAGAAAAATCTACATAGGGCTGAGGAAATAGCACATTGTTCTTGGGAGCCACCACATACAAGACTATGCATGGCTCCTTTCCCCAAAAGTAAGACCTATCCCGAAAATAAGCCCTAGCTTGATTGTTGGGAGTAGGCCTAATATAAGCCCTACCCCAAAAATAAGCCCTAGTTTTGGGCAAGGTGCACGCCTAAAAATCAAGCTGCCCCCATGGTGGGGGGGAGGGGTGGAGCTGCCCCATGCGACCTGCACCTGCTTATCATTGCAGCCAGGCCTCCCATGAATTGACACTTGCCTTGCCTCACCAACCCACTTCTTCTTCTGCAGAGTTCCCCGGCCTGCATTTCGCCATCAGAGGCCTTCCAGAAAGGCCTCTGCAGCCAAGAACCAAGCTACGGATAGAGGCCTTTCCAGAAGGCCTCTGACAACGAAATGTAGGCCGGGGGTGTGTGTGTGCTGTGCATGCGTCAATCCGGAGCTCCATTCCCACCTTCAGAGGCATTTCCTTCGGCTGGGCGGGGCTGTTGGTGCCACCATTGCGAGGTGAGATTGTGGAAAAGACACCCTCCCAAAAATAAGACCTGGTGCCTCTTTTGGAGGCAAAAAAATAATAATAAGACCAGGTCTTATTTTCGGGAAAACACGGTATGTTTCTTCTACAGGCTTTTCTATGCACTGGATGGAGCACTGCAACATTTGACAGTATGCTTCCTCTCTCTCTTTAATGCCCAAATCCTAATTTGCAGGTAGGGTTTTCATAAGGGAATTCCACAGAGGAAACTACATATTCAAGAAGATTGTGCCAGTGAAATCAAGGAACCTTTTCCTGTATGGGCCACACTGCATGTAAAAATGAGATGGGACTTCAGTACAAGTAGCCCTTGACTTATGACTACAATTGGGACCACCATTTCCACGGCTAAGCAAGGTAATTGTTTAGTAATTCATGTCTGATTTACGACTTTTTTTTGCCATGATTGTTAAGTGAATCACTGCAGTTGTTAAGTGAATCATGCAGTCATTAAGCAAATCCAGCTTCCCCCATTGATTTGATTTGTCAGAAGCTGGCTGGGAAGATTGCAAATTGTGATCACATGACCTCAGGATGCAGTAACCATTTTAATACAAGCTGGTTGCCACGCACCTTAATTTTGATCACTTAAGAGTGGGAATGACGGTCGTAAATGTGAGGACCAATTATAACTCACTTTTTTCAGGGCCAGTATAACTCTGGATGGTTGCTAAACAAATGGTTGTAAGTTGAGGATTACCTGTAGTGCAGATGCATGCTATTTTGACACACACCACACTCCTAAAGGATGCCCCTGACTCTAACCCATCTCCTTTTACAATTCTGTGAAAGCACTGTATGCACCATATGCTAGGAAAAGGAAAAGATAAATTGGTAGATCTTCAACTTACTGATGGATCTATCTGATCATTGGTTATACCTCTGAGGACAATTCTTAGTGCATGTTTCATGAATGGGGCTAAGCAGAGAAGACTCTCTAGATAATATCCAATACTTCGATTTGGGCTGCAATCATGTTCCAGTGACCCTCCGTGGAGCAGCCCAGGCTGGTAGTACAAAGTTGTACCTGTAAAAATAAAGCAACAGAAATGTTACTGCAAAAGCTATATAATAAGACAAAAAACAACACACGTGCCTTGCCTGTCAATCAGTCTCTATCATGTGTGCAAATGACTCTACAAACCAACAGAAGGGCTTCGTGGTAATTAATTCTCATTGTGCAACCAGGATGTTACAGCAATGGGTGGGAGAGAAAATAAAGGTCAGGTATAGGAAAATGCATAGAAAGGAAAGGTCAGGTCAATCCACCCCCTGACTTGAACCTGCCAATAATTACAAATAAACGAAGCCTTACATTATACAAAACAAGAAAATACACATTCCCTTATTAGATATAATTTGCAGAAATGGCAAAATCAATTTGTTTGATTAAGAAAAATATAATTATATTTGTTAGTGACTGGAAATCCTTTATGGACTTTCTGATGAAAATACAAAATAATAAGCTTGTGATTTATGGGCTTGATTATTGGAAAGGGTAGAACATGGAAAGAAGGAAGTCACAATGTAACCTGAGAAAGGGAGAGAGGGAGGGGGAGAGAGAGAGAGAGAGAGAGAGAGAGAGAGAGAGAGAGAGAGAGAGAGAGAGAGAGAGAGAGAGAGAGAGAGAGAGAGAGAGAGAGAGAGAGAGAGAGAGGAAGAGGATAAAGATCAATGCATTTCTAATTGGTGCAAAGAAGATTGGAAGTCACTTCCTTACATTTTTCTTTGTTTTTCTCTCTTTTCCTCTTTTATTTCTTTTCTATTTACTTTTCATTTTTTAACTTTGCTTTTGCTTTTCTTTAATTTTGTATTGTTTTTACTTTGCAAATATTACGTTAATAAAAACGAATAGCAATAAAAAAAGAAAATACACACTCCCTTTCTCAGATCTCTATACCCACAGGCTTAAAGCACTTGCAACTGACATACTCACAATTTTTTTTCACCAACTCTATCAATTCTATGTTTCCTCCCATATCTACTTTCCAACTGGTCAAACTCTTCAATGGAGGCCCCCTTGTGCTCTGCAAAGTTGGATTCCCAGTATGGTATACGACTATGGGCACCTTCCTCAGCAGCCATCAAGCTCCATGAGAGCCACCTCTCTTTATGTTGCTTTTAATTTTAAAAAAATGGAAGCTAGCAAAAGTGGAGCCCTTTAACTTTTTTTAAAAAAAGAAAAAGTGATGGGTAGTTGCAACATAATTCTTAGTCTGGCCACAGATCCAATTGCCTAGAAAAAAGGACATAGATGAGAAGAAGTAGAAGGAAGGAAGGTGTCCTTCAAAACAGGGGTAGGATAAAAGGAAGGACAGATAACATGTTAGTAAAATAGTGCTTTTAAACGATTATGTTGTCTAAAATTCCAAATATGCCATCAGCTCCAAAAGACTGGAGCACCATTTATGCCAATAGCACTAAAAATATAATCCTTACCTGTTTGGTTTATTTCAATCCTAGAGCCATTGGTTATCTTGTCAATCAGCCTGAGAAAGTTTGCTTCAAAATCTGTCAGAGAAGCATACATAAGATTAGATTGCTGGTATTTCAGCATCTATTCCAAGAACCTTTATGGCAATCTTCACAAATCAAACAGCATGTAATTGTGGTCATATTACAGTTAAAATATTTGGTTGATCATGTGGTTAAAATAGACAAGTGAGTAAAATCTACTCCAATTTTACGATAGAATCAGTAACGGTAAGATTTTTTTTCCCTCTAAAAATCTCCTATTTGCCATCCTATGCATATGGCCACGCAATAAATCTTTCCTCCAAGCAAGTATTCAAAAGTTTCAGTTGTTCACTTCCCAATGTTACAAAACAAAATACGGTATGTACTATTGTTCTAACCCAGTTCTATTTTTCTATTTGGGCAATTCTTTTCTTTTCTTTTTTTAAAGACGATGGAGCTAAAGAATGAAATAGGGGAATTTATCTACCAGACGCCTCTAACTCTTGTTCCTTATTTTGGAAAAAGGGGGAAAAATAATGCCAGGGAAATCTATCACTTTTGTAATGAAATGTCAGCAGCAGAAGGGGGGCATTATCAAGAGTCAGTACAGTGATGGGTAATCATCATGCTTTTGTATTTGGGTTTGTTTACAGTTAATGCAGAGAGACCCACATAGCCACTATAACCAAAAATATTGCAACACCACAAGAGCACCAACTTAGCAGAAGTTGCTCATTACTTCATATTTTAGCTCTGAATCTTTTCTCTTTCATTCCTGCTGCCCTTATCGTGTTTTCTCACCTGTTAGGATTTGGATTAATATCTTACTGTAGTGAAAAAGCAAACTCACTACCCTTCTTTAAGAAATAAATTTGCGGAGTTCAGTGGTATCAATGCCAGTTCGAATAGCCTTAACTTGGATACACAGGTAGTCCTTGACGTGCAGCCACAATTGAGCCCAAAATTTCCACTGCTAAGTGAAACATTTGTTAAGTGAGTTTTGCCCCATTTTACTATCTTTCTTGCCCGTTGTTAAATGAATCACTGCAGTCGATAAGTTAGTAACCAGGTTGTTAAGTGAGTCTGGCTTCCCCACTGATTTTGCTTGCCCAAAGGTCACAAAAGATGTTCACGTGACCTTGGGACACAGCAACGGTCATAAATATGAACCAGCAGCCAAGCAATCTGAATTTTGATCACGTGACCATGGGGATGCTACAACTGTGAAAAATGATTGTAGGTCACATTTTTCAGTGCTGTGTAACTGTGAACAGTCACTAAATGAACAGTTGTAAGTCGAGGACTACTTGTACAATATTCAATACAATATGATACTCTTATCATTCCATTATGATTAGCGGTTCCCAACCTCTTCTATATCCCGCACCCCTAGAACGCTTCTGATATATTCTCGCACCCGTTACAAAAGTTCAAAATAACAGCAACTAATTATGCATATACCCCAAGTTTTGGCACCCCCTGGAATATCATCTCGCACCCCCATGAGGTGCGAACACCCCCAGTTGGGAACCCCTGCATTATGTAGTTCACACATATTCAATCATAAATTAATTGAACTCGAGGTGGTCAATCATATTAACTTTCAAATTGACCCAGGACTTTAGTGTTGACCTCTTAAGGCAGAGAAGTGAAACTCCACTGATTGAAGGGCTACAGCCTTTACAGGGCATGTCAATTCAAAGTCAGGCATGTCAATTTAAAGGCAGGGTTTCAAGAAAGCTTTAGGTACATATGTTGCTCATTAAAAATCCCAAGAAAGGCCCTGGGGTCCTAGAAGGGGCACTGCCAAACGTATGTACCCCGTGCCTCACTTTCTGCAAACCTGTTTTTACAATAGGAACAACGATCCAGAATGCAGTCTCCCATTTGATTGTTTGCAATCATAAAATTGTAGAGTGGCAATAGTTCATTTAAAACGCCCTTTAACTACTATATACTGTATCTGCACATAAGTAAAAAAAAAGTATTGTTCTGCAGGTTTTGAACACTTTTACCTGTTTCTTTTGAGAATAAGAGAGTGGATTTAGTTAGTTATTGGTATTAAAATGCTCAAAATCCAACATCACTTCCTATGATGTGGATCATGCACTATAGAGCCTTTGAGGAAGGGGAGGGGAGGATAAAGGTTATTATATGTATAAATTACTTTAGAAGGCTCATTGCTCTTATAAATGCTTATGTTCCTTTGACTTATTTTCTGAGGGTTTAGAAATTGACCAATGGATAACAGGAGAGATATGGCAGGCTTTTATTGTTGCAAATAATTAGTGCAAGGCTGGAATCACGTTAATTCTCCATCAGTTACAAAGAGTCTGAAAATCTCATCTCTCCCTACACTTAAATGGGCTTTTTCCTGCTGAGAGTCTTATTCTGAAGGCTATTCATAAATTTGGGGTGTGCATATATTGATATACTTAATTTTCTTCCTTTTTAGTAAGTAAGTTGGCTTAATAGAAATTAAAATGTGTTAATAAAGGTGACATGTGGAGGAAAAAGCTTATTTTAAAAAATAATAATACATTTAAAAAGTAGTATTATCATATAATTGATGATAAAATTGCTTCACAATTGATTTCCATAATTAGCTGGTCTGCTCTGGAATTGCTGATGATTAATTTGCATCAGACTCTAGAGTAATTGCAATCTGTAGTTTATATTGCTGCAGTTATGCCCTATTTTGTAACCTGGAGTAGGAGAGAAAATGTTCTCTCTTATTCCACAATTAGGAAAAATGGGGGGGGAAAACCCCTTGAATTTCAGATTTTTTCCTCAGCTGGCAAAGAAGCAAATCTGAGTCATCTTCCATCCAGCCTAAGTGATTTCCTTTCCTCAGCTTAAGGGCAATAGGTTTCCCCAGTTGTAAGAGGGATGTCTGCATATCCAAATATCTCTAGCTTACAGCTCATTCACCCCTCTGTTTGGCACTAGAAAAGCCCATCCGAAATATCCCCACTGCTCTTCCACTGACTTGAAGGCACCTGAGGCATTGTCACCAGTTTTCAGACACTGCTGTCAGCTTCTGTGCCATCACAGATGCTCCCAGCATAGGAACTGCTGAGAAAATGAAAGTACCATGATTGAGTACAGCCCAAAAAAATGGGGAAGGCAAGCAGAAAAAAGACAGCAAGGGGATTTCTTAGTGTATTGAGAGAATCATGCACTGAAGGAAGAAAAAAAAAAAGGGGAAAATATAAGAGAAACAAGATGCATTGAGACTATCAGAGAGGACTAGAGGAAAAAAGAGAGGAACGAAGGAAATGCCAATAAAGTCATTATGGTACAGAAAGGAATACAGGCATCCTTGACTTACAACCATTTTGTTTAGTGACAACAGCACTGAAAAAAGTGACGTATGACTGTTTTTCACATTTACAATCGCTGCAGCATCCCCATGGTCACGTGATCAAAATTTGGGCGCCTGGCAACTGGCTCATATTTATGATGGTTGCCGTGTTCTGGGCTCATGCGATCATCTTTTGAGACCTTCTGACAAAAAAAGTCAAAGGGGGAAGCCGATTTCACTTTACAACCGTATTATTAACTTAACAACCGCAATGGTTCACTTAACAACTGTGGCAAGAAAAGCCGTAAAATGGGGCAAAATTCACTTCACAACTATCTTACTTAGCAACTGAAATTTTGGACTCATTTTTTGTCATACGTCGAGGACTATCTGTATATCTCCTCTACAATATAGAGGAGAAAATGGTGGCTCTGCAGTGGGGGGGGGGGCAGATAATAGAATAAGGGGACTTACGGTTGCAAAAACAGTAGATGCAAAAGAAAGACATCCAGGAAAGAAAGAAGGCTGAATTAACAGAAAGCAATATTCAGAGGAATGTCCACCAGAACAGAGACAGAAGAGAGAAAGCATGCTGTATGGGAAAAGAAAGCAGCAGGGAATTGTCAATAAAGGGTTAATAAGGAAATTCAGTTAAAAATGTTTGGAATGGAAAAATTAAGACACGGAGGGCAGAGGTTCCACACAGCAAACAAAAGTCAGGCACAGTAGGAATTTTCATATTTGCTTCTAGCTTTTTTCTTCCAAACATCCCAGACTACAGGAAGCTATATATTTTCTAACCCTCAGTGTTTACTAAATTGGCTCCCACAAACACTTCATGTAGCTTGTGAGTGGATTTTGAGTGCAAACATCTTGGCTCACACTTTGCCCTAATTGCTTTGGGGTCCCTGGCAGTTTATTCCACAGGCGTGCAAGTAGAAAATGTTTTACGAAAATGGTGAACGGCAACTACTAACATAAAGCCAATAAAGAAAGCAAAATAGGACGCTAATTGAGAAAGGGCAGGGAGAAAAAGGTGTGCAACCTGGGGCCCCCAGGCCAACAAAGCTCATTATGCAGCTTTTGGTACAGCATTATAGTCACTCTCAATTGCTGCCAAATTGCAATGGAAATGTGATAGAAGGGGCACAATTGTTAAATAATTGGGTATAATATTAGTTGTAGTTAATACCTTGGTTTCTCTTCAAAGGACACAAATCTTATTGTTTATATACTTGCACTGAATATAAACCAGATCCAAATCCTCTTCCCTGGTCTCACCCATCTTTTCTCCTGAACCCATTTAATTCCAAGACTGTGACCCCAGCACAACAAAGATGAAATGCAACCCTTAGACAAAAAAGGCTTGTGTAATTTTCTGTTAAAATGTGCTTATATTTATATTCTTACTTTCCACTAGGAAGTTCTGCCTGAGCGGACCCATTTCATTCCCAAGTCCAGTCTGTAGGTTAGGTTTAAGGTGTATCAATTTGCCAAAGTGTCACTTCTTATAAATCTGAATTTGAACTCAAGACTTCCCCCATCCATCATTCTAAGCACTGAGCAGCCCCAGGTGGTCTCCATCACTTGAAAGCTCCTCCTGGCAGCCTGACAATCAATCACTAGTCTAGTTGTAAACCTCAATTGGGTTAGAAAAGCTCCCACTGCCAATGTTGGGAGATTCTCCAGCCCAATAAAAGTTCTTACAAATGAAGGAAACAGATGTTCCCTGAGGATGGGCTCTAGAGTAAACCTCTGGTCCCGATGACCGACCCACATTGGATCTCTCAAAAGCTCCTACTTTCTTAATAAACAATAGTAACAGGAAGAATGCAATCTAGAACAAAATCAGCAGAAGAAAAGATGAATCATCCTCTTTTTTCCAGTAGTTAAGGCAGTTATGTTTACATGCACACACACTCCGGATCCAGCAGCAGATGTGGCCTTCTAAGCTGATAAAGTTGCCCACCAGTGTTACAGAGTAGCGATGTAAAAAGGGAGGTAAGACAATTCTGTCTAAACAGCAAGGAAATACATAGCAAACTCGCTTCATAGTACTGAACTGTCTGGACCTTCATCTATTAACCGTTACTGAGAACTACGTATATTCTTCAGATCATGACAAAGCAATCAACCAACAAAGTGATTGTAGAAGCAACTGATGAAGTAAAATATCAGCCTATCTAATAGATGCAAAGCTTAGAAAGACACTCTAGAAAATTATGCAACAAAAAAGCTTTTAAAAACATAAAATCAGGAACTGATTCCTACCAAAACATTTAGACGTTGATCTACCTCTAACCTTATGAGTTAGCTACTTTACAATTTAGGAAGAAACATTTGTAAGTAAGTGGAACAAATTTTAGCTGCAACACCACACACAATAACCAAGGGGTAATTCCCAATAGAGTGGAGCTAATTTCCAAGAAAGCAAGTATAACTGCACTGGATATCTTATGTAAAAAATCTATATGCCACATATTTTCATTGCATGAGGCAATGTAAAAATGAATAATTAATGGAAGAGTTCTAGGTCATTTGTGGAATAATTCTTTTTGAATTCTGAATATCTCAGCCACATGCTCTAACCAGACAGGACAGGAAAAACTTTTTTATGAAGCAAAGCTGTGTTCTTAACCCCAGGCACCACATTGTATCCAACAGATTCAGTCATACTATCACGCTAAGTTATGGTTTATGGATGCTTTGGTAACGTGGGAAATTAACACATTAGTTAACTTAGTTAACAAACCATGGTTTGAGAATCATTGGTTTAGAATGATAGCGTATATGGACAGTAGAAAGCAGCATTCTGAGTCCAAGTAATACTACCTTTAATACTTAGAGAGGAATGGGGCAGGAGAGAGTTACAGCTCTTTTTAAGTGACTGTGATTTGAATCTACTATCAAAGGATTTCCTTAATTAACGTGTTTGATTCAGTGCATTAATTTTAGGCAGGTTGTTGTCTTAGGAACATCTCACAAAGATAGGGCCTGCTGCTGCTGCACAGATAGTTCAGGGAAAGGTTGAAAAAGCCACTGCCATATTCTACAGGTAGCCCTCAACTTATGACCATAATTGAGCCCAAAATTTCTGTTGCTAAGTGAGACATTTGTTAAGACATTTGCCCCATTTTATGACCTTTCTCGTCCTGGTTGTTAAGTGAATTGCTACTGTTGTTAAGTTAGTAACATGATGGTTACGTGAATCTGGTTTCCCCATTGATTTTTGCTTGTCTGAAGGTTGCAAAAAGATGGTCACCTGACCCCAGGATTCTGCAACTGTCATAAATGAGTCAGTTGCCAAGCGGCTGAACCTTGATCACGTGACCATGGATGCTGCAACAGGCATTAAGTGTGAAAAATGGTCATAAGTCACTTTTTTCAGTGTGTTGTAACTTTGAACGGTCACTAAATGTACTGTTGTAAGTCGAGGACTGCCTGTAATTTGAAAGGGGAGGGGGAATCATTTGATATTCTCTAAAGCCTGTGGTATGAACAGGGGCCGTGGTGCCTAAGCATTGGTAGGGTGGGACTGGCATATCGCCCCATGGTCCTTTAAGCCAGTGTTTCTCAACCTTGACCATTTTAAGGCATGTGGACTTCAACTCCCAGAATTCCACAGCCAGCAATGCTGGCTGTGGAATTCTGGGAGTTGAAGTCCACATGCCTTAAAATGGTCAAGGTTGAGAAACACTGCTTTAAGCAGATAGCTAACCCAGTGGATCGAACCGAGCTCTTTTTCACACCAGCACGCAATCTTGCGGATTCCACAGACGTTCGCCTTTTAGGCAAATCAGGCAGCGGCAACAACCTGATAACTCGGGCTCTTCGCCCAGGCTACCCGCGGGCAAAATCAAAGAGGCTGCTCCGTCTTTTGCGCACCGACTCAGGTGCGCAGCTAGCCGCCGTTGCCTCCACGGGAATTCAATCCACCCGCCAGTCTCCTTTCAGCAGGCGAGCCTCCAACAGGCACTCGCAGCGCCGCCCCCTTCCCACCAGGCTCACCCCAACCAACCAACCCCCCCAAATCGTCCCCAGGGAATTCGCCTGGCGGTCCCGGACTAACCAACCTCTGAGGCCGGGGTTGTCATCCTTGGCCCGGATCTTGCGGATTTTCACCGGCCGCCCGCTCAGCGTGGAGAGCACCAGCCTCTGCCGCAAAAAGTTGCTCCCGACATAGCTAAGGGAAGGAGCCTGGCTCGCCATGTTAACTGCCCGGGCGCCGCTGCCCCCGGCCGAGGCCAACCGCCCAGTTCTGGAGCCGGCCAAACTGGGCGGGACGGCTAAAGCTCGCCCGTCGTTATGATCCCAACGCCGCCACGGTTGCCCCGCAGTAGCCCAGCGCGCGTCCACGTGGTTTGGAACAGGAAGATGGAAACGCGAAGACATCGGCGGGGTCAAAGGAAGAAGGGGCGGGACCTACGGAAGCGCCGCTCGGCAGCGCAGGCGATTGGCTTGGCGGAAGGAGGAGGAGGAGGAGCTACGGGAGAATGAGAAGACAAGCCGGAGAGGGACGGTCGACGGGCGGGCGGGCGGGCGGGCGGGCTGCCTGCGCTTTCTACCCGGCGAAGTGCCGTCGAAAGGACCGAGGATGGCATGGCAGCCAGCAGCATCTTTTCCTGGTCGAGGGGGAGTAGGCTGTGTACACAGGAGACGGCCAAGCACGAACCAGCCAGTTGATATGGCCAGTCTAGAGAAAAAAGAGAAGAAGGGGGGGACCTGATAGCAGTGTCCCAGTATTTGAGGGGCTGCCACAAAGAGGAGGGGGTCAATTTATTTTCCAAGGCACCTGAAGGCAGGACGAGAAACAATGGATGGAAACGAATCAAGGAGAGAAGCAACCTGGAACTAAGGAGGGATTTCCTGACAGTGAGGACAATTAACCTTGCCTTCAGAAGTTGTAGGTGCTTCATCATTGGAGGTTTTTTAAGAAGAGACTGAACAGTCACTTGTCTGAAATGGTTTAGGGCAGGGGTAGTCAACCTTGGCTCTTTTATGACTCGTGGACTTAAACTCCCAGAATTCTTTTTTTTTTTAATTGAAAATTTTATAAAATTTTACAATATAAATCCCCCCCTTCCCCTTCCCCCCTTCCACCTCCCCTCCCTCCCCCCTCACTTCCCAGTGCCAATCACAGGGTTAACAATAACATAATCATACTCTACTTAACATTAATCAACTATTAAAATAACACATCTGTAACCTCCTTTAACTCTCTTTTAAACAGTACAATTATTAAAAACAATAATAATAACACTTTAATAATTAAAAATAATACTAAATAAAATATTCTAACCTTTATACAACCATAATATTCCAAAATTTACTCAAAAACCAAATGATATTTTTTAGTCCCATATTTACACTCAATATAATCTATCCATCTTCTCCAAACCAAAATATATCTTTCTTGTGAGTGATCCTTCACATAAGCGGAAATCTTGGCCATTAAACTCCCAGAATTCTTAAGCCAGCCAAGCTGGCTCAGGAATTCTGGGAGTTGAAGTCCACGAGTCATAAAAGAGCCAAGGTTGACTACCCCCTGGTTTAGGGTCTCCTGCTTGAGCAGGGGGCTGGACTAGAAGATCTCCAAGATCCCTTTTCACTCTATTCTTATATCCTATCGAGAGCTTCTCTGCTATTGCATAGCTCTCCTCTTTCCCCATCACATCCTTTTTCAGGTGCTGTGATATAGGTTTACGGCCACAACGGAGCCCAAAATTTCTGTGGCTATGCAAGACAGATTAACTGAGTTGGTGGCCCATTTTATGACCTTTTGTCACAGTTGTTAAGCAAACCACCGTAGTTATTAAATGAATCATGCTGTTGTTAAGTGAGTCTGGCTTCCCCCATTGCTTGTTGGAAACTGGCTGGGAATGTTATAAATGGTCATCACATGACCCCCAGGACAGTGCAACTGCCATAAATAACATGTCAGTTGCAAGTGTTGGGGTTTTGGTCATGTGACCATGGGGATGCCGTAACAGTTAAGTGTTAAAACTGGTCATAACTCACCTTTTTCAATGCTCCTGTAACTTTGAACAGTCACTAAGTGAATGGCTGTGAGTTGAGGACAACCCATATACTCGCTGTTCCGTTTTAGATTATGCGCCATCCAGTTGGTGTTAACACAGCAACCACATAGCCAGACCTTCTCAGGGTTGTTCTGTCCCCAGTATGGCCACTCAGGGATGGGGTCACTTTTCACATCCTTTGATTTCATTTTACCATTTCTCTGCTGCTTTATCAATTAGGTTCTTCTTAGCAACTTCCACTGTGTTGTCTTTCTTGGTCTTTGGCAGCCTCTTTTCAAATTCCTCCTGAATAAGTTATTAGATTTTATTCCACAGTTCCATTTGATTATGTGCCCTCAGATATTTTTCTTTTTTCTTTTTAATAGTAATTGTATTTGAAGATTGCCCAGAAGCTTCAATTGACCTAGACAGCAATGGCCTGGCTATTGATCGGTACTTACCAAATTGAGCATTGCATTGGCTTCAAACCAGTTTCCAAGTGCAAGACAAAGTGCTGTTTATAGCTTTTAAAGCCCTCCATGACTTGGCATCAGGGTACTTGTAGGACTGCCTTCTCTGTCTAGTTTCAGCTCACACAAATCATATGTCACGGGGGTATCTGTGACTTCACATTCCACAAGGTGAGAAGAACAGACCCACAAATACTGTTTTTCTGTTGGTGCATATGATATTTGATCCTCACCCTGTTGGCTTTCTGGGGAAAGCCTTTAATGCATAATTTGATGGTACTGGTTATTGATTGGTTTATGTGTAATTGGGGATTGATAGTTTTGTAATTATTGGAGAGAGCATAGGAAATGGCCTTGAAGAATAGAAAGAAGAGCAATTGCCAAGGCAACGATCAGACAAGCATGGCTTGAGTTCACTCCAAGAAGCTAATATGATTTAAGTGTTTCGGACAGGCCCCTCCCTAGTTCACATGAAAATAAAATGGGGAGGGAAGCACACACTCGTCCTTGTAAGATCCTAAAGCTATTACATTAAAATTGTCCTGCCATGTATGGCACTGATCCCTTAGTCTGGTCTACCTTATAAAGGCTGACAATCATGGACATTTTAATGTATTTTTATGGATGCAGGTAATCCGCCAAACTCATTTTGATTGTGGAGGGTTTGTCTATTAAATAAACAAATGAACAAATATTAATATTTATATACACCGTAGAGGTCCTTAAAACAAGAGTTTGCAATCTAGAAATGGAGAAAATATAATAGAAGAAAGGTGAATCAAGGGAGTTCATGATAAATGGGGAAGAAAAGATTCCTTCAGTAGTAAATACTTAAATTTGCTCAAAATAAGTAATTACATAACTTTTAACATAGTAGATTTGCAGTTTATGTCTATGTGAGCTTATTACTGGATTAGCAAATATGCTTAGAATTATAGTCTGAACATTGCAGACCTTAAAGTTTTATTCTTACAGTTCTTATAGAATTGAATTTATTTCTGCACATTCTCTGTACATGGAAGAAATTGATGCTGTTAAGAGACTGGATGTTGATCAGGAAGATCCATTTCTGTTGGGTAAACTCTGGATTTACTTTTTTTTAAAGAAAGCGAACTATTAATGGGGAAATCTTAAGGCAAATACAGTAAGCCAGCCATGTATTAACTTAGGGCAGTGGTGGCGAACCTATGGCACGGGTGCCAGAGGCGGCACTCAGAGCCCTCTCTGTGGGCACGCGCACCATCGCCCCAGTCCTAGGCCTTCAGCTGGGTTTTATAAAACCTTTTCGCTTTAGGCCTCCGCCGCCATGTGCAAAAAAAAAAGGTTCAATCAATCAGTCAATTTCAACTTCTTGCGGGGAAAAAAAGATCTTGCAAAGTTGGAATTGATTGATTGAACTTTTTAGTCCCACCCAGTCTGCTGTTACCACCCCAGCCATGCCCACCCAATGGGCCCCGCGCACCCAATGGGCCACGCCCACCCGGCACCCGACGATGCATAAGTGGGTTTTGGGTTGCAGTTTGGGCACTCGGTCTCTAAAACGTTCGCCATCACTGACTTAGGGCATTGGTTTATCTCAAAAAATGCAACTGACTAAATCTGGATAAGCTAGCTGTTAGTGTGTCCTGCAGAAACTGGCAATATATTTCAAACCAAAGTTTGAATCCTTTCTGCTTTTTTTTCTTAAAGAACATTGTTCCTTCACTATTGGAAGAATCACAGCAGGTAAGTGTATGCAACACTCCAAATAAACCAAGTGCAACAATCTATTTTGAAAGAAATTTCAGATAATTGTTGGAGCATACTCATTGCCATCCAGAGGCCAGATTTTTCTTTCTGATTTTTCCAGACATCATTATAGCTCTTTTCCTCTCTGAGAGGAAAAGTGCTCTATTATAAAAATAGAAATAATTATGTTGTTATTAAATCATCATAATCTTCCATTTATAACCCAGCCTTCTGTCTTAGCCTCTTCTGCTTTCTTTCGATTAAAAATCTATTGAGCAGGAAAAGACTTGACTTTTTCCACATAATACAAAGGCATGGTTTGCTTATTCCTGTTTACAGGTAGTCCTCAACTTACAGCCATTCATTTAGTGACCATTTGAAGTTACAACAGAAAAAAAAATGGAAAAAATGATTTATGACTGCTTTTCACATTAATGACAGTTGCAGCGTCCTCATGGTCACGTGATCAGAATTCGGGCAGTTGGCAACTGGCATGTATTTATGACAGTTGCAGTTTCCCTGGGTGATATGGTCACCATTTGTAACCTTCCAGGCCAGCTTTCAAATGGTCACTACACAAATTGTAAGTTGAGGACTTACCTGTACTACTTTTCCAGATCGGTTCACCTGCTGTCTACTTTATTATCATTTATTGCTTTGCAAATACCTTTTTATTCTCTCAGTGCTTGTTATTTCCGTTGCTAAATGGAATATTCTAGAATATTTTAAAATTCATTTGTTTTATTTTCATGTCTTTGCTAGATGCTTTGATTTATAGATTACTGATTTTACTGTCTTGGTTTTTCACTTTGTTTAAATATAATCTTAAAACTTTCTTTTCTTGATTAATAATCATATATATTAAACTTGTATGCCACTCCATTCTAACTAACATCAGAATATACAATGTTTCCATATAATTTTAATAGGATACAATAGAAAAATTGCATGGGTCATGTTGTCCATTCCAAAAATTAGTGACACCTATTGGTCGTTGATGGTATTAACAATTATATTTTTAAAATTTAGTGATGTTCACTTCGTCAGCTCTGTGAATGTGATAGAATGCAGTCTGGATTCCCAGGCGGGAGGGACTGCATTCCAGAAGGCAAAGAGACAGCGAAGCTTAGATAGTTTGGTCCAGAGAAAGAGAGAGAATGAGAGTTAAGTCTCCTTCCTAGCAATTTTCAGAATATATCTATAGTGATGCAAAACAGTTGCTTTATTTTGGCAAGATTTCTGTCTATAGGTGAAGAACAATAAAGGAAATTGTTCAGAAGTAACTCTGTGTGTCTTTCTTGGTTCTTGGGACCTGACAGTTAAGAAGGCTCTTGCTGATTTTCAAGCTCAGGATTAAAAAGTTTTTATATATGTCAGTCATTCTCAAATTGTATTCTATGACTCACTGGAGGAATGTAGAAGTCCAAGGGATGTTCCATGGCACCCCTTCCTACGTTCACCAACCAGAGTGCCCAATCACTTCAGCCAATCACATTTATCAATGTAATGAACAAGCAGACTGCATGTTCAACATGTTCAAATAATTAGCTAGCAATCCAATCTTATTACAGAGTATAACAAGCCTAATTGGGATGGGACTTAATTAAGTCTTAATTTATTAATTTATAAAGCAGATACATAATTTAGGTAAAATTTAAGATACCGCATCCCCAAATACAATATGCATCTGTGTATATTTGCAAGACTTTCTGAGATTTAAAAACAGGCTAAGTCTACTTATACAACTGATCGCAATGACAGCAATGTATAATAAATATTCCAAATTTAATAACAGAGCAAGACCAAAATGTTTATGAATTCTAGTTGAAATCTATTCTTCCTATAGTTCATATAAATATTTAAAAGATTAGTGTCATTGGTTTTAATTTCTCCAAGGCCAAAAAGGAACCCAAACCCCAAAAAGCCCTTAAGTGCCGTAATTCTTGAAATCAGTTATTGTAATACTTTTTGGGAATCGTTCGATGTCACTTTTCTCTTTCATCCTTTAATTTTTCATGAGGAATTTTCAGCTTTACAGACTCAGCTGTGCAGTAGTCCTCAACTTATGACCACTGTTGAGCCCAACATTTCTGTTTCTAATCAAGACAGATATTAAGTGAGTCTTGCCCCATTTTACGACCATTCTGACCACAGTTGTTAGGTGAATCACTGCAGTTGTTAAGTTACAAACACAGTTAAGTGAATCTGGCTTCCCCATTGACTTTGCTTGCCAGAAGGTTGCAAAAGTGGATCACATGACCTCGGTATACTGTGAGAGACAGTGGGAACAGAGGTTTAAAATAACTTATTTGATCAAAAGAAGAAATGGATGGCACAGTGGTTGTGATGGATTACAGTGACACTAAGAGGTTGCATAACATGCCATGTGCACTAGAATCCTGATTAGAAGCATTGTCGAAAATAGAAACACATAAAGAGGCCAATTTCCCAGTCCAATCTGGAGCTCCACTACAAGTTTGCTTGGCTTCAAATAATTGTAAAGTAAGACAACAAAATATACATCCCACAAATTGTTTTCCACTGTAAAGGATGTCTTAGGGCTGATCCCTGGGAATTGCACTTTTTTTCTCTTAGCCTTTCTTTCTTTTTTACAAAATGAAAAGAATTAGGGAAAAAGTACTGAAGGTCTACAAGTCAAACACTCTTATCATGGGTACCTCTCCTGAAAAATTCTATAGACAAGGCTGGGAGGATACAGATAATGAGCTCTTTTGGAAGCAGTCTGAGTATTTAATTCTATGAGGCCAGTTGCCTTATATATTTTACAGTGGAAAGAATAAAAATTGACTTAGATCTGTTAGCTCAAGTTTTATGCTAGAGGAATCTAACTTGCACAGAGATGCAGAGCACAAAGCCAAAACCATCTACCAAAGGCCATCTTACCAAATAAGATTATATTGCCTGCCCTACACAGACATTTAGAGAGCGTGTTCAAGGACCTTAAGAGAGCTAAGGGCCAGAAGACATTAGGGGCTGTTATGAAATATGCTGTCTCCAGAAAAATGCACGAATACTTCTCTTTTGAGAATTGTTATTGTGGTCCTTTGATCCTCTTTATGGAATTGTGGGTGACCATGTGGTCTACGTTTTGAGCCTTTTGGGATTTAGTATTTCTCTGATTCTCTTAGCTTGGGGAATACAAAAGGTTTTGTATTTAAGTAGTCCTCAACTTATAACCATTTGTTTAGCAACTGTTTGAAGTTACAAGGGCACTGAAAAAAGTGACTTCAACCAGTCCTTGCACTTACAACCATTGCCTCATCCCCACAGTCACATGATCAAAATTTGGGCTGTTGGTAACCAGCATACCGTATATTTACGACGGTTTCAGGTCATGTGATCATCTTTTGCAACCTTCTCAGCTGGTTTCTGACAAGCAAAGTCAATGGGAGAAGCCGGATTTGCTTAACGACTCTGTGGTTCACTTAACTGCAGTGATTCACTTAAAAACTATGGCAAAAAGGTCATCAAATTGGGCACAACACACTTTAACAATCGCCCTGCTGAGCAATGGAAATTCTGGTCCCAATTGTGGTTGTAAGTCGAGGACTCTATGGTATTTTTGTTTAGTTTGAATCAATATATTGTGCAAACTAGGAAAACCGACAGATTCATTAGCCAAGTCAAACACATGGTGTGTTCCTAACTTCTGAATCAGACTATTAGACCAGGGGTCCCCAACCCCCGGTCCGTGGACCAGTACCGGGCCGTGGCATGCCAGCAACTGGTCCGCACAAACAAACAAAACCCCATCCACAGGATGCAGGCAGCACACAAAACCACGCACCCTTCAGTCCACGGAAAAACCTCTCTCCACGGAACCGGTCCCTGGTGCCCAAAAGGTTGGGGGCCTCTGTATTAGACTATACATTCTGGCTCAGTGCTGCTGATGTGGCTAGCTTCATACTAAGCCACAATATGGTTTTATAATACATCAATGGTATGACTTCTGAAAGTTGCCCAAATGATGTCTCAGATGGACTGTATGAAAATACTGTAAGGAATTTAAGGTATGCAAGCCCAGGGAATTAAGAGCAACCAGACTTGTCTGTATTACCTTTTTCAATTTGTTCTTCCACATCTGCTCCCTCACAGCCTGGAAACTTCCAACCCAGAATATCCACAGGAGTGCAACGGTTATCTGCAGACTGATGACAGTTGCTCCAAATTTATGTAAAATGGCTTCGTAAGGAGTGGGTCCATGTTGAAGTTAAGTAACATGGGAAACAACTTTGATAGAACATTGTCTCTCTCTAGATAATTTTAGAGCAGTGGTTTTGAACTGGGAAACTTTAAGAGGCAAGCACTTCAATTCCCAGAATTCCCTAGCCAACATCTTAAAGTTGCTCAGATTGAAAAGCATTATCTCCTAGAATTAATCTGGTTCTACCAGTAACAATCAGAGATATAGGAGACAGGCCATTATAGATGTTGTGTTGCATTCAAAAATATTTACACACAGAAATATATTATTTTGCAGACAAACTTTACAGGTGAGATACTCAAATTGCTCCCATAAAGTTTATGATTATGGCTTATATTTCAGTTACCTTATTTCCATAACAAGCTGATTTATATGTTGTGAAAGGAGTGAACTGGAGGCAGATATTCTCAAAGTGACCAACTGACTTCAAAGTTCAGTCAAGTTCCTGGAGAGTTAATACATTAGGTCTGAGACGTAACTGAACACAGTAACTCTCAGGCTTTAATAATGTGCAGCCAGACAGATACATTGCAAACATCATCTATTTACTTTACATTTAACAAAGCGACTACCCTCCTCCCTTTGCCGTTCATTTTGGGTTGGCCAGAACGGACCCAATACAATAAAATAAATAAAACAAACTTCTTGCTACCATATTGGTTGTCCTGATTTTTTGCCGGTCAGATCTGATAACTCTTGACTGATGGTGAATTACTGTATAAGTGTGATATCTGTAGCGAAGAAAGAAAGAAAGAAAGAAAGAAAGAAAGAAAGAAAGAAAGAAAGAAAGAAAGAAAGAAAGTTGTAGACCGAAGCGGTAAAACGAGGGACCGGAGCCCCGCTGACGCCTCCTTTGCAGCGAGGCCTGTTTGCAGCTCGGAGGCCGGGCTTGCGGCCGGGGGAGGAGTCATTCCGGGCTGCCTCGTCGACCAGGCTGCGGAGACGCCCATTTTCCTGAGTTGTTGAGCTGGTACCTGTCGGGTCGAGGCCGTGACCGCCGGGGCCCTCCGAAGGAGATGCTGGGGGCGTAGCGAGCGCCGCTGCAAGCCGAGGGAGGGAGGGGAACGCTGGGATTTTGCTTTCCTCCCATCCCGCCAACGAGCCGGCCATGGTGGTGCGGGCGGCGCTAATGCGGGCGCTGATCATGGGGGCCCCCGGCTCTGGGAAAGGCACCGTATCGTCCCGCATCGTCCAGCACTTCGCCCTGAAGCATCTCTCCAGCGGAGACATCCTGAGGGACAACATGAACAGGAAGACCGGTAAGGAAGGCGAGCGAGGACGCCAATATATAAAACCATCAAGACTGCAACCCTGGTTCGGTTGTCGTCGCTCTTATCTAAGAAGGCACAGAAATTCAACGATTATATCTGTTATTCTGGCAAAGAGTGGGAAAGGAAAACATGTTTTGGGCAAGCCTGGTATTCAGATGGCTTGGTTCACCCACTGGGATAAGCCATGGTTTATTGAACACTCGAACGATTTGCACGTAGTGTTCAATGTGAACCAAGCCCTGGTTGATCAATATTTGAGATTCTGAAAGGGAAGGGTTACAAAATAGTTGAAAGTAGTTGCAAGACTTCCAGGAATTAAAAGCTTGCAACTATTACATGAAGCTTTGGTTGGTAGGTCTTGTAACAGTATTCTCTTCATGTGGATTTTGGGGTTTTTATTTCTCCAACATTGATTTATTCCATCCCTCTACATTCGGCAATGTATGTAACTCCCATCTATAATCCTTTCCCAGCTATCATTAAAACACCAGTATTGTAATTAAATGTATTTAATTAATGTAGTTACAAGTGCTTTTATTAATTTACCAGCTCTTCTTTGGTGTTTTTACTTTCACTGTTTCACCTCATTGAAGAACATGAACCAAGTTCAGATGTTTAATAGACGAAGGACCAAGTCTGTGGCACGGCAAGTGGAAATTCATTGTGGTCCTCAGAGGTCTACTTTGTTTATATTAACCATAGCTTTGTCATATTTTCCCAGTGCTTGTAATGCAAGCCATCAAGCATTCTGAAGAGGCAACATATGTGTGTATACTGCGGAGATATATTTAGCATGTTTTCTAGCATGCACTATCTTAATATTTCAACATGGCATGGAACACTTGCAGATTCCATCACTGGGTGGGGAGAAGGCTTCTCTAATTGATTACACTATAATCTAAATCAGGGGTGCCCAACCTTGGCAACTTTAAGACTCGTGGACTTCAACTCCCAGAATTCTCCAGCCAGCGTGGGTGTTGAAATCCACAAGTCTTAATGTTGCCAACATTTATACAAAAATTTTACCTAAATAGTCAACTGAATTTGATCACCTTCCTAGTATCTCAGGGATAACAGCATTAGATAGCCTATTTCTGCAAATGGATCCAGTAGCTAAGATGGGATTTGATCTGGAGCTAGGGCTAGTTTGTGCTAGATGGACAAAGAGGCTATGTCTGAGTCGCACTGTTCTGAAGTAGCATTGCAGATATACTTTACAGTAATTGAAACTGTTCATTATCAGATATTGTCACTCTATGCAGTACTGTCTGCTCAAATATCAAGGAATAGAGAAACTCTAAAAGAAATGCTTGCCCCTCAGTACCTAGAGCTAAGAATGAACTGATTATGTATTTTAAAATCGCTATGGATGATTTAGCTTTATACACAAGATCTGAAAAAAAAACCTAGAATAAATACCCGAGGCTTCCCAACTACATTTAATAGCAGCATCGTAAGCCTAATGTTAGCACCTGATAGCTTTCCATTCAATTAATAGGTTCCTTACCTTATACCAGACACAGAATGGGGAAATGCTTTTAGGACAGGGATCCCCAACCCCCCCATCCGTGGACCGGTACCGGGCCACAGCATGCCAGCAACCGGTCCGCACAAACAAGCAAAGCCCCATCCGCGGGATGCAGGCAGCACACAAAAACACGCCCCCTTCACGGAACCAGTCCCTGGTGCCCAAAAGGTTGGGGATCTCTGTTTTAGGGTATTATATGGAGAAGAAAATTTACCTGAATCTAAAGTAGAACCTAATATTAACCAGCTCCCTAGTTAAGCCTTTTCTACATAAATCGCGTCTGAGATTCTCAGAGACTTCCTGGACAAGTCCTCGCAGGTTTTTTTTTTTACAAGCTCTGAAACAACAGGCCTCATAAAATTGTTCAAGCCTAATAAACCCCAGATAATGATTTTATTGCTGCCAAAGTCTTATGTCATAATTTGGAATAATGGGCCACACAAATGCCCAACAACAGGGGCCTAACCATTAGAGTGCTTGCTTATAAAGAGGGTACTTGTGAACTGCCTGCCATTGACCCATCAGCCTCTAAGCATAAGAAAGCTCTGTGCTAAAATCAACACAACAAAATAGAAACGAATGTGCAAGCTGACTTTAGAGATGGATGCTATCCTTCCTTGACTATGTTCAAATATAGCAACATTTGGTTGAAAAATATTCATCTAAGACAGACTCTGCATCCCTTGTATTAAGGTCTGCATTTGATTTCATTTCCAAAACAAAGTTGTGGAATAAAGTCATAAATTCTTTTATGATTGGTAGATGCCTGCTGCTGTTAATCCATACCCCTTGTGAGAATGCCAATACAAAGGTTCATTGTAGTATACAAGGCCATTATGCTAAAGAGATCCCAACCCAAAGAACAGCCCTTCACTTTTAACAGAACAGCATGAAAGCTTTATTTGGCAAAAGTGCATATGCAATTACTGTTAAGGAGGGAGGCAGGATTGACTGACATTGAAATAGGCACTTGGATTTGCTTTATTACATTGTGGTGGAAGTTGTTCATTTCAGGCTGCCTCGGTTCTTTTTTTTTTTTGCAAAGTTGTGCAAATTTGACAATTTTGATTCAACAAAGAATAGAACAATTTACCAAAATGTAGTATTGTGG